GAAATGGGGAAACTGAGTGTTGTGTGTGCCTATGTAATTCCTAAATACATTAATACAACCTGCTCAGACCATGTAATGTTAATAGTCCACATGTTTTCAGGACAGAGCATTTGGTATTGTATAACAAATTGATGCCTCTTCCTTGGCAAAGATTATTTCTCCTGCTCTCAGTGTTCCTTAGTTGCCTGTAGATCTTTGTCTCAGGTTGAAACATCCTATATTTTCACCTTCACAAGTTAGTATGTGTATTGATGTTGTCCTTGTTATGGTCCTGTTTGGGCAGCTGATTAGTATTATTTCAAGTGTGTTGTTTCTTACATTTATAGGAAACACAATCTTCCAGAAAATGTCCTGCTCTTCTATAACTTATAAATGTTTTCAAACCCTCTTACACAATGTTTCCTGAGCCGAGGGTGTGTGAGTTGTTTTGTAGGTGGATAATTTTGATTGGACTCTACAACTGTGGGTTTTGATTGGTTGTGTTTTCTTTTTCCTCTATCTGTTGCAAAGAGCAGTTTCCTTGATGAGAAATATGAACTACTAGTGCCTGTGGGTATAAGGACAAATATTTAGAATGCAGTTAGGGGTTGGGTTGGATCAATCACGTGCTGGTTGTAGGTTCCTCTTCAGTATTCATGACTTCCATTATCTATTGTTACTTAGCTATGTTTTGAGGACCATGCATTATTTTCTTCCATCTGAGAGGATCGTATGTTCAGTCAGAGAGCTATTGGTTAATGCCAAAGTAGGTCTTCAACTACTCTACCCTTCGGGTATGTGTACCATGCTGGTTGTTGTTTGTTCATAAATGTCAAGGCTGGGTTGGGTATCACAAATTCAGTCACTTCCCTCCTTTGGAGACTTTCATGACACCATTTAGAAACATGAAGACTAGTTAGTCCTCAGGGAGAAAACTTCAGGTCAGCTCCAACTGAAGCTGGAGTTTCTGACCACTGTGTTGGAAATGCTTTGTGTCTTCAGAAACTGGGACTTTCCTTCTTCCTTAGGTATTGGGAAAGGTTTCTTTGCATATCAGAAAACATGGACAAATATACCTCAGATATAATCCTGCCACAATGCATGGATGAGAGGTGGTTATAAGAGTCACCATATATATGTATGAAGGGGATTTGTAGAAACCAGTAAAAAATTGAGGCAGCAGGGAGTTTGGATTATTTAGGATTAAGTGGTTAGTAGCCCCACATTTTTTATTCAGGAAGGAATAATGATACATTGATTATGAGTTTCAAAACACAGTCTAACTCCTGAATTCTTTTAGTATCTCTGCTATATTGGTGACTGTAGATGTAACTAACCGTCTTATTAAATAAGAAACACAGAAACAATGTAAAGGAGAAAGCCGAGAGGTCAGAGCTCAGAGCTAAAATCTCACCCTTCCGCCTGCGGTGTCCCAGCAGCGAAAAGAGACCTACTTCCTGTCGGTTCATTTTTTTATAGTATGTTGTTCTGCCTTCTCATTGGTTGTAAACCCAAACACATGACTGCCTCGTCACTGTCTGAATGTACAGCCCCCTAGGTCTTAAAGGCATATGTCTCCAATGCTGGCTATATCCCTGAACACACAGAGATCTATGAGATTAAAGGCGTGTGCCACCACCGCTCTTGCTATGGCTCTAATAGCTCTGACCCCCGGACAACTTTATTTATTAACATACAATCAAAATAATATTTCAGTACAATTAGATTACCACCACAGGTGACCTCATTGGTTTATACAGTTGCTCACTATCCAATACCTTCAGGAATATACCTGAGTTTGAATATTTTCATAGTGAATGAACTTGAGTTCGTGGATAAAGAGTTACTTGTTCTGCCTATATACCCATTGAAGAACATTGGTGCTGGAGCCAGCTATGAGTAAAAATAGCTATGGAATGAACATAAGCTTGCAGGAAAATATTGCTATAACTGCAATCGCCTAGTAGGAAAAAAAGAGTGGGAAGGTGTCTGTGGTAATGATACATTTTAATGAAAATAGCTCTTCATCAAAAACCACTACATTTAGAAGACTTCATAGAAAGTAGTACCCAATGATATCATTCTAGGCTGTTTGCTTAGCCTGTTACCCTACAGTGTACTCAGCCTGTTTCAGCTTAATACACTTTAAATTCTCTATGTAATCAGATTTTTCAATCCCTAATACACAACTTTAATATTATGCTATGTACTCTCCCATGCTCCTGAACCAGAGTACTTGAAGAATGTATCTGCATGTTGTAATCAAAGAACCCAACAGGTGGAAAGTAATCGTATCAAACAAATAACAATCATAAATGTAATTAGCAACCTTTGGAAGTAGGTTAGTAATGTTTTCTGTCCTAAGAGCTTCTGTGTCAGTTGGGGTCAACACAATGACTTCATCTCTTTTAAAATGGCATTAAAGACTTCTGTAAAAAATGTTTTTAATTTGTATCCCATCTTTTGCTTTTTAGTTTACTATGTTGTTCAATAAACATAGGGCAAAGCCTTCATTTGAGACAGATGGAAGAGCAAGAGAGACAACTGGAGAATACAAACTTTGGACTTATTCTTGGTCAAAGGAATCCAAGAGGAAGTCTGTGTTTTCATCCCTGATTAAATTTATAGACATATTCATACATGTACATTCAAAGGTGTTTGGCAGGAGGAAATAGAAATGTCAACATTTTTTTAACTGCTTCTTATTACCATCAATATATCTAGCAAATTCTACTACTAAAAGACACAAAGACTTTTCCAGTCTCTAAACAAGGGACTTCTTTTTCTTTCTGCTTCATTTTGTAATATATTTTCACTTCCTTGTTTCTTTTTTAATAATTTTAATAAATATCTAATTATTTTTATTCATGAATATGCTTCTGTTTGTCTCTCTGTGTGTTGTAGCCACCTGTGTGCAGGTCTTTGCAAAGGTCAGAAATATGCACTGGGGTCATTGTTCCTCAAACTACAGGAGGCTGGCAAACCTGCATATTGGGAACTGAGCTCAGGTCCTACGGAAGAGCAGCAAGAACCCTTAAATGCTGTGCAGCATCTCCACCGCCATTTCTATAATTTTTAATTGTATGCCTTTCTTTTCATCTTTCTCACTTTTAAAATATTTTGTCTTCTTGTTTTCTCTCCTTTACCATCCTTTCTATGTGTTATTATTTCATTTGCAGTTATTCATTTTAACCTCATATTTATTTTCTATTGTTTGTCTCTTGTCTTTTATATGTAGTGATGTAGTTGCTTTACTTGGTTTTGCTGTTTTTATATATGTGGTTTGTTTCTGTATGTTGTTAATATTGTCATTTCTTTTCTCTTCTTTGAGTAATATTCAGGATTGAAACTTTAAGAGACAGATGATCAGTGGAATGATGCATACATAAAATTCCAACCAATGAACAACTGCCAACATAGAAGTACCTGCAATATTAGAATCAAGGAAAAAAATCTCATAACTTAACAGTAATTTAATTTAAAAATATAAAAGTAAAGAACATCTATAAAACCAAGAGATTGAGTTTATAAATGATGAATTTCAACAAATACACAAATAATAGTTTAATGAATTAAGAAATAAAATCTATGATGTGAAAAGAATGTTTATATATAAATGTAAAACTTCTCAAGGTAAAAAGAAATTTGAAATTAAAATGTTTAAAAGTCAAAAATAGAGAACTATTAAAAGATTCTCCAATGGGCCTGATCAAGTGGAAGAAAAAATAATGACAGAAATAAAGTAAAAGTTGGTGAATTTTGAAATTTTATAGTAATAAATGACAAATAGAAAGTTGATGAGAGATGTCCTTCTGTATGCTGTGGATATGTGTTGCTTTTATTCATTGAGGAATAAAGCTGCTTTGGCCTATACTGCCCAAGGATCAAAATGCCAGCAGAGCAGTAAATCTTGTGGCAATGCACAGATTAATAGACATGGTCAAATTTAAGTTGTAAGACCTAGTTAGTAATAAGCCTGAGCAATATGTCAAACAATTTGTAATATTAAGACTCTAAGTGATTATTTATAAGGGGCTGTGGGATGGGGGTGGGAGGGAGAGAGAAAAATCCTCTGGCTTGTAGAAGGAATCTTAAAAGTTCTTATTAATAAAATCAAACCCGAGGCCAGTTATTGGGGTCCATGCTGGTAGGTCAGAGAGACAGAACAAGCCACAGCTAACCTCACCTGGTCAACTTCTCAGCTGGTCTTGTTTCCTCCGACTGGAAGCTTCTGTGTCCTCATCCCAATGGCTCTCAGCTGAACTGCTGCTCGAAAGCCTGAAGCTTAACCAGCCACATGCTTAACCAGCCAAAAGGCTCTAGTTTCTGGTCCTCACGCCTTATATATCTTTCTGCTTTCTACCACCACTCCCTGGGATTAAAGGCTGGCTTTCTGGGATTAAAGGCTTGTGTCACCATGCTTGGCTTTTTCCAATGTGGCCTTGAACTCAGAGATCCAGAGGGATTTCTATCTCTGGAATGCTAGGATTAAAGGTGTGGAGTGCCACCATTTTCTAGCCTTTGTATCTAGTGGCTGTCTGTTCTCTGACCCCAGATAAGTTTATTAGAGTACACTATATTTTGGGGAACACAATACCACCACACTGGCTACCTACAAAAAGTGGATGAAAAGATGGATCATCTAGTTAAGAGAGCTTGCAAGTCTTGCAGAGGACCTGAGTTTGGTTCCTAGCACCAAAGCCAGAAACTCACAGTTGCCTTTGACTAACATTAGCATGAAAATATCCCATACTCCATATATACATAACCAAAGCACAGATAAAAAGAAATTATAAAATGAACATATGAAAGCCAGCAGACATGAAAACGAGACCAAATATATATGGCATTATTTATGTAAACTAAAGAAGTTCAGTCTGAAAGAAACCTTACTCAATGAAACAATTCTATAAAATCAACTGTTTTTGTTAGATTATAGTTCAACTTTTAGGAGCTAAGAAAAAAAAAGAATATAGAATGAAGCTACATAGAAGGGCCAAATGATGTCATAAGTCAGAATCCTCAGAAAATCAGCAGAGTTCAAGGCAGAAACTCCAAATCCATAATGATACTTAATGTTCACAAAGAAAAATAAGTGCCAAACATCAAAGAGATCATTTGTAACAGGAGATAGTACAGGCACCTTCAAAGGTGAGCATTAAATCAGGGAATCTGGGGCTACTAAGCAAGCATTGAGATTTTACTTTGAGAAATCCTTCACACAGAAGAGGAAGCAAGACAAGCACTATGATAGCCTTGGAAATATCTGTAATTAATGTGAAAATTAGAAAATAACCATTTATATTTAATTAAGTAAATCATGAAAACTAAAACAAATAAGGAAGAAACAAATATATTCAACACAGCAAAGATAAAACTCACACAATAGATTGAGCCAATATATACCTTTCAGTACAATTCTAAATTAAATAGTTATAATTATCTTATTCAAAGATGTAAAATGGATGCTCAGAGTTTAAAACAAGATCCAAAATTGTGCTAACTTCAGTAAACTCATCTTATCAACAGACTTAGAGAAGCACAACATAAAAATGGAATTCTAAGCAAGAGTAATCCAAATGCTGTTGGTGTAATTATTCCCATTTATAATATAGATTTCATGGCAAAAATCTTCCATGAAGACAAACAAATCACTGTATACTGATAAAGGGAATATACATCAGAGACTACAAAATTTATAAATAATAACTTTGTACACAAAAGAGTCACAGCATCCAATTTCTAAAACAAGCATTATTGTATACAAAGGGAGAGGCACACCCAGCACAATAATAGATGTATTGATACCTAAGTCCCAGCTGTCCGTAGTGTCATATGCCTGTATTGTCAGCACAAGAAAGGCTGGGAGATAAGAATCATGTGTCCAAGGTCATTATGGGTTCACATATTGAGATTTTGTTTGAACAACAACGGCTACAACAATTATAAAATATCCCACTTTAACCAACAGAAGTATCACTCATATCAAAAATAAATAAATAAATAAATAAATAGATAGATAGATAGATAGATAGATAAATAGGAAAAAGAAAAAAATCACCAAAGTAAGCTACAACATATATTTAATACACTAAATATAACAGAACGATTTAACAAAGAAACACCCTTCTTATTTCAATACAGGAATTTAGAATTACTTTCAGAAGTAGATATACTTTTGAATCTCAAGAAGGTTTTAACATATACAAAAATAAAAATAATGTCTTATATCATTCATATTATAACATAATGAGCCTAGGGGAAAGAAAACAAGAGAAAACAAAAAATATCAAAAGAGGGCACAGAACAATGAAGTTATAAATATTCAGTATATGAATGAAGAAATTAAGGTGAGATGGAAAAACGACCAACCCAAAGTCCTAGAATTGAAGAAATGAAAAACACACATCCCAGAAGCACAGTGGTGCATCAAAAGATGTTCTATATTAGAAGTTCACATGCATCGATACCTACATTATAGGGGGAGGGCATTCAAATAAATAACTCAATTATGCAACTAAAAGTCTTTAGAAACAAAAAAAATCCCAGACTAGTACTGTAGGATGTTCTGTATGGCAAAGTGTTGTTCTGATTGGTTAGTAAATAAAACACTGATTGTCCAGTAGTCAGGCAGGAGGAAGTATAGGCAGGACAAAGAGGAAAAGAATTCTGGGAAGTGGAAGGCTGGGTCAGAGACACTGCCAGCAGCCACCATGACAAGCTGCATGTGAAGATGCTGGTAAGCCACGAGCCATGTGGCAAGGTATAGATTAATAGAAATGGGTTAATTTAAGATATAAGTACTGATAGCAAGAAGCCTGCCACGGCCATACAGTTTGAAAGCAATATAAGTCTCTGTGTTTACTTGGTTGGGTTTGAATGGCTGTGGGACTGGCAGGTGAGAGAGATTTGTCCTGACTGTGGGCCAGGCAGGAAAACTCTAGCTACAGACTAGTAGATTAAAAATATAATAACTATCAGAAAGAAAAGTAAATAAAATAGGAATGAATTACATTCCATGTAATAAAAAATTAGTTCTTTGATAAGGGAAACAGATTTTTCATTACTTTAGCAAAGCTTACAAATGAAAAAAGTAAGACTACCAAAGAAAGAACTAAAGATAAAGAAGCACATATCACAAAAATTGCTATTGAAATCTAGAGGATTATGTGATATTTGAAAAATTCTCAATAAATTGGAAAATGTACTTACTTTTTAATTTTTGAGTTTATAATTTGATTACATTTCTCCCATTCCCTTTCTCCCTTCCTTATACCTTTTCCTGCTCTTCTTCAAATTGCTGGCCTCTTTTTTCATTAATTGTACATGAATGCATATGTATATTTATATATACATACATATTCCTAAATATAATGTATTGAGTCCATATGTTACTTGCATGCATGTTTTTAGGGCTGACGTTTTGGCACTGGACAACAAATTGGGTGCTCTTCCCTGGTGAAGACCATCTCGCTCATGTCCAGCTTTCCTCAAAAATTACCTGTAGTTCTTTCTGTAGTTAAGCCCTCGTAGGTTTTCCTTGGTCATTTGGCATGTTCATGAGTATCATTTCTGTTTAGCTCATATTTGTACAAACCTCTATGCATACATTACCTCCCAAATTGAGCCAGGAGTATGCGTATTTTCTAAACCAGCAGTACAAGTACAACAGTAATAAAAAAAAAAAAAAGAAAAGAGAAAAATATAGAACTAGATGGTTCAATGATAGGCAGAGGGGTCAAGGACATCAGGTGAGCTCTGACAGCAGAATCAACAAAGTAGGGCTCATGGGTGCTCAAAGAGACTGAAGCAGTAATCATTGAGCCTACATGGGTCTTCACCAGGTCCTCTTGCACAAACACACACACACACACACACACACACACACACGCACACGCACACGCACACGCACACGCACATGTGCACCCACACACACACATATGGTTGCTAGCTTGGTGTTTTGGGGGGACTCCTGACAGTAGAAATGGATGTGTCTATGACTCTTGCCTGCTCTCAGGACCACTTTTCTCCCACTGGGTTACCTCATTCAGCCTTAAAGTGAGGGGTTTGTACCTGGTCTTATTGTATCCTGTTGTGCCATGTTCATTTGTTGTCCCTGGAATGGCTGCTCTTTTGAAGGGGGGCAGACAGGGGTAGTGGATGTGAGGGGGAGGGGAGATGAACTGGAAGTAGAGAGAGGGGAAACTGTCATCAGTATGTATTATATGAGAGAAGAATAAATAAAAATTAAAATAACAACAAAGACCCCTGTGCTACTCCAAAAAATAAAGTGTCAGAATGTTCATTCCAAAGTCATTTAACAATTAATATTACAATACTGTCCAAATTTGGTAAGAATGTATAAAACAAAATAAAAAAATCTGTAGGCCGATGTAATTCATATCCAAAGATATTGGAGAACCCTGCTGTTAAGGTCTCAATCTACTGTGTCTCTCTGAGCTCAGCACAAAATGGAGGACTCCCTTTCTTAGTGGAACTTCCTCTTCTCTATCTAACCTTAATTGGAGAGTGTCTCTAAGCTCAGATGCCTGACTTTATTTGGAGGATGACCCTGCACAGAGCTCCCTGCAAACACTGTATGACTCAGCCCATAAGACCTGCTCTTTCCTCCTGTGTATATGATAGTTAGGTGCTGTGTTATGATCAGTTAGCCCTTCCTGTGCATAAACCCTAAGAACCTTTATACACCTGGAACAATAAAAAGGAGATAGATATCTCTGTGAAGCTGACTTCCAGAAGTTCTTCCCATCATATTCATGACCTTCTAAATCCTGCTTGCTATTTCTGCTCCCTTTGTCTTCCAATGACCCCTGAGGAAAAGGAGATCCACACAAGATGCAACACGCACACACACACACACACACACACACACACACACACACACACAGGTATGCACACACACATACATAACACTTATTTTTATAGTTGACATCAACGTGCCTTCATAGCCTTACAGAAATGGTAACAGTCATTTTGTGATAAGTCCAGAGAAAGCTTATATAATTAGAATAATGTATAATAGAAAGGCAAAATATAAATCCTTAAAAATATAAATTTGAATGTTATATTAAATAAACTTGTAAGTACTTGCCCACTCACATTAATGCACTTTGCATATTAATTTGTATTTTTTCTTTTTTGTAAAGGTCACTGTAAATCTGTATATTCTTTCCTGGTCTTATTGCCTACTACTTTCTTATTAATATAACTGAATATCAAGGGATATCATGAAAGGTGGTCAGGGAATCTGAACATGTAGCAGACATTATTCTAATAATTAGTTTAGTGAGGATTAGAGGATCTGTGGGAAAAAAATTCTTGAAGCTATAGGGACACATTCCAGTTCCCTCTACAGGCTACCAAATCACATACACAGTGACAATTTTATTAGTAATAGTCAAACATTACTATAACATAAATAAAATCTTGATCACCAAAACATAACCCATGATTAAAATGTCATGTTATACCAATACTTCATTTTAATGTATTTATAAGTTGTCTAGCTAAAATGGGTATTATGGTTACTCTTTCAAAATTATTATTCCTAAATGTTGACAGTCAAAAATTTTATAATAATAGTATTGTTTTCTATCACTTCATAAGGATAAAATACATAGGAATTATACAAGCAAATAATATAAATATACTAAATAATTTAATTAAGAAAGTAGATCACATAAAAGCTTTGAACACATTCTCAATTTATTAATTTAATTTTAGATTATCTTTTTATAATGATTATAAAATATTACATGTGTTTTTCACTTTTAAGTACATGTTCTTGTATATTGTTTATATTCTAAGTTTTAAACTTCACCTTAATAATACTTAATACTGAAAAGGCAACAGAATAATTCTATCTTTGCTGTTTTTAAGATCTGAGACAAAGAAAAAATGTAGGGTTGTCTAAATATTTTTAATCAAAGCAAAATGGGCCCAAATATGCTTAAGTAAAGAGGATACAAAAATTAGCTACACGAAGTGTGTGTTTAGGAATTCAGAGAGTGGTCTGGGGCAACCTTGAATAATAATCACAATCTCTCAAGTTAGAGCACCATGCATACTAATTCCTCCTAGAAAATTGAATTTGAGATGCTTATCCATGAACTCTACCAGACATTTTTAATATTTACATATACATATATACATAGATACATGTGTAAATGTTAAGGATTAATGTCAATAACTTATTCTCAACATAATGACACCTCAGTATTTTCCTAATTTGTTTAATTTCTATAAAAAAATTGTCAAATTCAGAGTAATAAAAATTTTAAGAAACAAGCCTTTTAGAGTTACAAGCTTTATGTTCAGTTAGCGGGAGCATAACATGTTTGCTGTTGGCACATGCTCTGAGAACATTCTCACTTGAAGGACTGTGTAATTGCTTTTTTCCTACATAAACACAAGATTTTTTCTTTGCTCAAATGTCAGCTGTTTAGTGAAGTTCTCCCTCTCTGCTATAGGAGAACAATTTTCTTTCAAAAGTGGATGTTCTTGTTTTCCTGGTGGTGATTTTTCCCCTCATAGCACTCTAGTTTCTGACACACTATATCCTTGATGTTTTTTCTTATTTTTTACTTGCCTTATTCTACAAAGACAAAAGCTCTACAAAAAGAATATTCACCATTAATGTCATATTCCCAGATCACAGAGTTCAGCATGACACACAGTAGGCATTCAAAACATATGTATTGAATGAACATTGCAATGGCTAAATAAGGCTTTTCTTTTTCTGACAGTACTTAAATTACATTATAGCATAAAACTTTATGTCTAAATATGAACTATTGAGAATCTGTCCCAGTAGCAGCTTCGTTGATAACCAGTAGCATTAAATTATCAAATTTTTTCTTCTTGAGTTTACCGCTTTGTGATTGCATAAAACTGTCTAGATGTTTTTTCAATGTTGTTGCTACTGCGTGCATGAATAAGGTTGTAGAAATTATAAGGAGGCAGGATGTAACTATTGTTTTGCCAAAAGAAATGAATGCAAATAAAATGCAGTACCCTCAGTGATTTACAAATATATTGTCACTGCAATGTGAAGATAAATGCCCACATTGCATAATGACTTGTTATACAGCATTTTAGAAACAGCATCAAACAAAGAGAAGCTGATCTCTTTAATGTCAGGCTGCATCACATTATGCAGTACAAACCCTAGGAAACTCAACATAGCATACCATGGCTTGTCTGGTTTATATAAATTTCAGAGGTATTTGATTTCTCAGGAATATAAGTTATTACACTGGGTTTCTCACAGAGGAAATGGAGCTGTATTAGTCTTCTAATACTAACTAACTGGATTTACCAGTTTCCCTGCGGCACTCATAGTACGCATGCCACTATTTCTTTCTGACCCCAGACAGTTTTTTAGATAGTTATTGGAAAAAAATACAACATAACCATCAGTGAACTGCTCTATTCTGAAAAAGAAAGAGACCTTTCCTTTTGACAAGAGCCACTGAATGGGAAAATGCCTTTTAACAAATATCAGTTAGTAAATATTGGATAGTCAACATTCTTGAGATTTTTTTCTCATTTTACAAGGTATATGCCTTATAAAGAACAAAAGTACTTATAGAAAATAAAACTTATCCCACTCAATTGAAATAACTTTTAATAGTTGTGTAAATATCTTCCTATTAATAAGGGTGCATTTAAGACTATGTAGTCATAATGTACATAGCTTTGCAATTGGCTTTTACCATTTTACAATGTACTGTATTCTGTTCTATTTTTTACCCACATCGGATGTTGCCCTTCTAAATTAGAATATCAGTCAAGGACTAAACAAAATTACTGCATAAAATTATATTTTGTGTATAAAATTAGAGTTTCATTATGTCCAGAACTTCGCAAGTACTGAACATATGAAAATTATCATTTCTCATACATTCTAGTCTGTTGTCATCATCTATAAAACCTTTGCTCAAAAATTTTATGCTTTAGATTCTTTGTTATCATCTTAACTCCAAATAATTCTAGCCTGTCTCTTCTTTTTAATACATGGACTCAACATTCTTTTTAATATTTTGGGACTTTCTAACATATCTGTGTAAACATGTTCTTAATTTCAGGCTTGGTCTATATCCTCAGCACATCAGGGCAAGAGAGTTTGGAGATCAAGATTATCCAAGGCTACATACTGAGTTTGAGGAAAGCCTGGGCTGAAAGCCTAAGGGAATAAATCAACAAATCAATCAATCAATCAATGAACGAATGGTCATGAAGACATAAACACAAAAAATTATTAGCAAGCTTGTGCTTTCCACTTGCTCCCTTACTATTTCTGTGAGTCACTACTAAAACTGCTGTCTTAATATTATGGGATATCTTCCTTTCTTCATCCTTTTGCAGTATCTCCTAAAAAAAGATACAACCAAGATCCATAAAAGTGTCTGCCTGAGCCTTTCTATATTGAGAATGTGGCACTCTATCAAGAAATGTGTACATTGTATTGATTGTGCTCCTAAGAAATTATAACCTAAAACCTCAGCTGGAGCAAAAAAGTGGCAGAAGCAATCAATGAGGTAATGGCATCATCTCAAAGGAAGCATGTTTACCAGCATCTGCATATATTCAAGAAAAGAATAAGAAAATATGAAAAGTTGTTACATGTTATGTGCATGTATGAATATATCTGTAGCTATGACAGATAATTCTTCAGCCCACGAGCATCCATAATAGAAACTTCAGAATCTGAGTCCATTCTGAAAGCAGGCCTCCACTCCTGCTGGTGTCTACATTTGCAACATTGCTGAGTAATTTAGAGTAATACAAATGAGTGCTCAGGTTGCCTTGCTTAGTTGTATGAAAATTATTTATTTGAGAAGGTTCATGGTTTCCTAATCAAATTCAGAGTTTTCTTGAAAATGACCCAGAAGGGATTGGATCTTGATAAATTATATAGAATACCAGGTATGAAACCAGTCATATGGAAGCCTCTTCATATTATACTGCACTTGTTTGTTCCTGGTTGGCCCCACTAAGGTAGGACTTCTATGTTCTCCTCTACAGCTTGGTTTTCCCTTACAAATGTAGCCAGCTACCCACCATGGCAAACTCACCTATTCTTTACAAGTTACCACTCATGTTTCAGGATCATTTTTCTCATCATTGCATTGACCATATATTCCTCAGGATCTCACCCTAAATCTCAACTCTTGACATAACTCAGAGTAGTCTTAAAGCTGATCAAGGAGTTTGGACAAACCAAAGGAAAATGCAGTGGGAGATGTTTTAAAAATATCAAAAAAAAAAAAAAACCAACAACCGCAAATACCCCACATGAAAAAAAAATATGCCTCCTATAATTTCTTAGGTCAATGAGATTTTTATCTACGTATTTTTAGATTGTCTGCATTTTATTTTCAGCATACTGAAATCCTTTGATTACATCACCTATTACTAGAACCTAGGCCCTTTAGTCTCCTATATCTTTAAGATGAGAAAAAAAAACCAGAAACTAACTGAAACTTCATTCCTCTTTTGCATAATTCTATAGACCATACTTCAATGTCATCAGAAAAAAATAAGCTTCCAGAAAACAGGCAATTTTGCCCAGAGGGTATTATTTTCACACATTAATATACATGGCACTTGATACTGTTTCAAAATCTTATTTTCATTAAAGGATTCTAATTTCTCAATTATTTCAAAAGGACCGTTTAATTTCTGTGCTCTCACTGTTCCCAAAAGATCATTTTAATCTTCAAAAACCTAGTACATCTCACCTCTAACTGGAGCAACTTTGAAATTACATTTCTCCATATTCTACCATTTATTATCTGATTTGAGGCCAATTGTCAGAGGACCATTAGGACCCAGTGCTTCATTACAGTCTTCTAGAATTGGTCTTGTCAGTAGACTATGACATGAATTGTATTTGCCATAGAACATAGGTAAACTAAAGAACATTTATGATGATTTCTCACATAGCTTAGGCTTTAATAACTTTATGTTATTCTTATATGCCTGAAAATGAGCAGTTTAAGGAAAATATCTATTTCTAATATCTTTTGAGAAAACTCATCAGAAGTAACTCTTTCCTCTAATCCTCCCCTTTAGGACTAAATGAAGCCAACTGGATATTTCATTGAAAATGATGTTCTATAAATATGTGCCATTGTATACCAGGATAATAGCTGGTAAATAGTAACAAAACTATTTCTTTTCATCTCTTGTTCACTTTTTGCTTCTTGAATATTTCAGTGGAACATAAGCTCTCCTGTGCTCATGGCCCCAGGGAAAAATATGTTAGCCTAAAGCAGTCTCTTCTAACTTGTGAATTTTCATGACTAGTCCTTGAGGAAAGCACGAAAGACTCAGAACATAAAGTAGTAATCTTTTGGCCTAAGCCAAGAATAAACAGAATGTATGCAATGACCCTTTGTACTAGGGCAATGAATGTTTAAATCAAAGATAAGAGGGGGTTTGGAGCACATGGGGACAATGTGATCTGGGCACATAGGGACAATTTTGTGTGAATGATGTGTTGGTTTTCCTGTACTCACAACTACAGGAGAGAGAAAAAGCATCCAGCAAGTTTGGTGCCATCTAATGCCAATAAAACACACATTTTTCCTCAGATAGAATTAGTTGATGAGGGAGATGAAAGCTGAAAACTTAAAGAAACAAAAATCAATGGCTCCATGAAGAATCGTAGTACGCAGTCTTAGATAATTTGATGTAGTTTCCACAGAAAGGGGAGAAGAGTGATTTCCTCTAGGGGTACTATGAGAATGGAAATGAAGAATGATTCTGTGGTAACACATATGCACTGACATCTAAGGGCAGGATGATGAATGTGTCCCTGAATACCATCATGGATGGATGATGATAAGAACCAGATGGCATCCCTTCAGCAGCAAGTAACAAACAGCCCAAACTGACAATGACTTAAACAGTGAGGACATTCTATACCCTAGCTAAGGAGAAGACTGGAAGGTCTATTAATCCAGAGCAAAATGATGTCATTGAGGCCCCGGGATATTGCACATTCTTCTCAGTTAAGTTCAGCTGTTTGGCTCTAGTTATGTCTTTTCCACAAGGATAATTGGATACTACCATAGATCTTGGCAACAAGCACACTGCATTGCCTCCAAAAACACAGAGTATTTTATCCTTGAAAATATCCTATGATGGAGAAAACGAACTTGCTTATGATACCCTAATGCAGAATTCTGGGTTGTCAGAGGATTTACTTTTACTTCCAGGAAATACATGGTGCATAATAGATTTTCCGTTAAGCATTTGTATATATTTTACCTGATAATCAAGTGTGGCTGTACAGAGAGACACAAGAATGACTTAGGAAAACAAAGCTTATTGTACTCATATTTCTCAGCAACACATGATAAACGATGCCATGAAGGCCATGGGAGGAGGACTGTAGGGTTGTTAGGGATCAAAGACAGTGTGGAGTGCCAGAATGATTAGACCATAGAGGGTGATAAGTCAAGGAAAGGGTAGGTACACTTAGGGGTGATTGAATTTACCAATTTCAGCAACATTGTGAGCTATGTGGATAGACTAGCAGCAAGTGGCATGACTTGGGGAAGATCATAAAAGATAAAGTAAAGAAATCAATTAAAAGAGGCATGGCTTTGAAAAGGATTAGGCTCTACATACATACCATGCTCTTTGCCAGGTGTGTATATTGTCAAAATTCTGTTACTCTAGTGCTTTCCTGTTTGGAGCTTTAACTCTGAGACTTAATGTCATCTACTTGAAGACACAAGAAGTCCTGAAGAGTGTTTCAGTAACTTCTGGTTATGTTTTATTACAGATCAAATTTTAAAAGCAGGCAAATGTTTAAATTACTGACTAAGTAGAATTAAGCATAAATCTTGGTATTCCAAGTCATAAAACTCCCCTCAAAAGAATTTCTCAAAATATAAGATATAACTGTCAGTTGTTAATAAACACAGTTTTTTTTCAAACAGAATGTATAAAACCATGTATAATCAGAAGATTTTTAAGTCATTTTCAAACTGCAATGTAAGTGTAAATTATTTCGGGTAATAGACTATCCACAATATGAGTAATGAATATTCTATATATTAACAAAAATATATGTAAGAAACCAGTTGGTAGTAATCATTTTAGGCACACAGGCAGGTTCTCTTTAAATGTGAGAGATATACCAATATGCTCCCCCATTACTGTGAGAGAGAGCACACATAAGATTAAGCAATGTCACTTAATGACCATACTGATAAAAGTCATTAAAAGCAGTGACATCTAGTAAACAGGCCATTGTAAGGACAAATCCATACTTCAAAGGTAGTTTTACAGATCTGTATTTTGAGAATTGTCTAATGCTACTACAAATTGGTATGCTTTTTAAAGTATACTACTTGTGAAGGTGTTTATAGCAATTATAGTCTGAAAGACACCAGGAAAAAGTATTTTAGTCACCTTAGAGAAAATATTTTTTTCTTCAAGTTTTAATATCCACACATGTACATGTATAATTTAAATACTTATTTGTTTTATGTTTTTGGTTTTTGGTTTTGTTTTTCAAGAAAGGGTTTCTCTGTAGCCTTGGAGCTTGTCCTGGAGTAGCTCTGTAGACCAGGCTGGCCTGAAACTCACAGAGATCCGCCTGCCTCTGCCTCCTGAGTGCTGGGACTACAGGCGTGTGCCACCACCGCCCGGCAAATTTATTTATTTATTTGTTTGTTTATTTACTTTATTTTTTTGGTTTTTCGAGACAGGGTTTCTCTGTATAGCTTTGGAGCCTGTCCTGGAACTCGCTCTGTAGCCCAGGCTGGCCTTGAACTCACAGAGATCTGCCTGCCTCTGCCTCCCTAGTGCTGGGATTAAAGGCATGTGCCACCACTGCCCTTATGTATTTTTTAAGTGTTCTTTTTTCTCATTTCTGATACAATATTAATAGCACAACTGCTTCCTTACACTGTTATGGAATATATTAATCAAATTAAATTTAAGTTGGTGAAAGTATGCTTCTTCTGTTATTATGATTAAAATACATATCAAAATTAGTCAAACTATATGTATATACTTGCTATTTATATTGAGGTGAATTATATAGTTAAATTATTTTATTTTGGAACTCCGTGCCCTTTAAAATAGTTAATCCCTATTTACATTTACTCTTAAAACTTTAAAACCAAAACTTTTTTTTAGGTTTATATAAATTTGTCCACTTTAGATACTTCATCTAAGAATAATCATTTAATAGTTATACTTTTGAGAATGGTTTATTTCACTTAATATCATTTCATTTATAACACAGCATGAAATATAAAATAACATTTAATATATTAGTTGTTATGTGTGTGCATACTGTGTGTGTGTGTGTGTTTGTATGTGTGTGTGTGTGTGTGTGTGTGTGTGTGTGTGTGTCTGTGTGTCCATATGTCCATGTGTGTCTGTGTGTCTCTGTGTGGTGATATATGTGTAGGCCAATAAAGGTTACCCAGGGATCCGATGACAGAACCAGCCACTAAAACAGACACAGAGGTCAGGCAGTGGTGGTACACACCTTTCATCCTATCAGAGCTCTGTCTGTATCTCTATGAGTTCAAGGCCACACTGGGATACATGAGAGAAACAGAACCAGGCAATAGTGATACATACCTTTAACTGCAGGGTTG